TCCAATTTAAATTTAGATCTACAGGGTTTTGATTTAATCAATCTACATATGTGTCTCCTTTCTGTCAGTTCTTAATGACACCAATATAATTAATCTTTTTTTAAATCTCAAAATACATACTGAGGAACAAATATATTTAAGTGAGTATAAAATCTTAAGGTTAAGCAAAATAGATTTTGTATAATGTAGTATTAAACAAAACAGAGACCTAATGTGCATCTCAAAATTATGACAAATCCATATAGTATTTGATAAATATTCAGAATAGGGACCAATTGACAAAATATGAAATCAACGAGACATTCCAAAAAATTCACTCCTTCTCTTACCAGTTCTGCAAAATCTGCAGCCTCCAAGCTACTCAATGCCGTGTCTAATTCCATCTATGTTAAAAAAAAAAAAAGAACAAATATTTGACTCATATTAGTCATTTATTTTTCATTAATGGTCCTATAGAAAGTGCTCAATTAATACTTAAGAATCAGTGTCTTGTTCTTTTGTGTAACATAAGAGATGTCTTTTAAAATTAAATACTTATTTGTAAGCTTGATAATTCTAAAAATAAACCAAAACCTCTAACATTTATTCAATCTGCAGCTTTTTCAATTAAGTCTCAATTATTGCAAAATAGGCTTTCCTGGTCCTCAATGTAAAACAATTTATGACATTAAAGAATTGCTGTTGCTGTTTTGAAAGAAACAAAATAAAACAAGAAACTAACCCATTTAACTTCTTAGAGGAAAATGAAAATCGGTCTGAATGTAGTCAATCTATTTGCCATTGTTTTTGTTTTCCACTTCTTGTACAAGCATATTTCTCTACAGTTGTATTTTTTTTGAAGGTAACATTCTTCCCTGTTTCTCTCCTAGATACAATGCTTTTCATAAAAGGGCTGTCAATCTTTACTCATGGATTAAACATGAAGGCAAAATTTCCCCTGGAATCTGGCAGTGTTTAATCGCCCTACAGAGTTTATTAGAAAAATCTCTTAGTTAGAATCTGGCTTTTGTTTCTATGGAAACTACCTTTGCTCTTCCTTGAACCATTAACAATTTAAAAACAATAAATTTAACTGTCAGTTTAATCTGTAATACACATATGTAAATGAAAGACTTAGCAATTGAAGTTTACAGCATACATGCTACTTGTGGAAAATAACTGTTTGTTTGACTTAAAGGCCAAAGCACTTTCTCTCTATAGGACTATGCTTCACAAACAGTCTTACTGAGACGACAAAAAAGTTTTTAAAACATTAGTCACGCCTTGCAATGCTTTTTACACAGTATGACTTATTATTACTCATTTGGGATCTACATTCTTTGCCACCTAGCAACTACTTCATGTTCTCTTTTTGTGGTGGCTACAGTTTCTCCTGTGAAAAATTACAGAACAAGAGGAAAATCATTCACTTGTGATTTTTAATCTCAGACACAATTACTATACCTGCTATTGAATGTCACAGGATAACATACTAGGTTACAACAATTGTCCCTTCATATTCTTTACGAGAAATGGCAAAGTAAATATTCTCATAATTTTCAAGAATACTCTAGGAAATATGATAAAGAGAAAGAGAATATGAGCGAAGGAGAGAGAGAGAAAGAGAGACCTTCTGGCAAACAAACAGAAAAAGGAAACACTCAAATGCTTGAGAAAGAAAACTGACAATGAGACCTCATCATATACTAAATGTGGAACAATTTTTTTTTTTCAAATTAAAAAAACAAAATAAAACTACTTCTGTTTAAAATTATTAAGGCACAAGTTACATCACATACACATCTTTAAGGAGATTTCGGAAGCCAAAAAATCCTTAATATTTTCCTGAGAAGATACATTGTCCATAAACCCTACTATTTAAAAAAGACAAAAATCCCAAAAAAGGAAAGTAAAAGTTCTTCGAGTTTGTTGGTAAAACCAAAATAACTACTTGAAGGGCTATTATATATAAAGGTTATTATGAGTACAAAGCTTATAACTTCACATTCATCAAAGAGACCTCAAGACCATTTTAATGAGAAAGTTACAATATTTTTTCCTAAAAATAAGCTACAGAGGCCTGATGTGGCACTAGAGAATAAGCACTAGACTACTAACTGTAAGGTCGATAGTTCAAACCCAACAGCCACTCCTTGGATACCCTATACAGGGTAGCTATAAGTTGGAATCAATTTAACAGCACTTAACAACAATAATCAAACTATAAAATATAGCTAATGTTCAGCTGTATCCTATTACCTATGCATTAACTAGGAGTCCCTGAGTAGTGTAAAAGGAGCCCTGGTGGTACTGTGTTTAAGCACTGGGCTGCTAGCTGCAAAGCCAATACTTTGAACTCATCAATCACTCTGTGGGAGAAAGATGAGGCTGTCTATTCCCATAAAGATTTGTTGTTATTGTTGTTAAGTGCCGACGAGTCAGTTCTGACTCATTCATAGTGACCTTGTATAGTTTCCAGGATTCCTGGTATGGTGCTGTAGGATAAGCACTGGATCACAAGGTTGGTTTAAACCATAAGGTTGGTGGTTCTAACTTATCAGTTGGTCCTTGGAAACTCTATACAGGGTAGTTATGAGTTGGAACTGACTTAATGGCGTTTAACAACAACATAGGATTTCCAAGGAACAGGTAGTGGTGATTGCCAACCTTTTGGTGAGTAGTCCAGTGTTGATCCTACAACGCCACACCAAGACTCCCCCATAAGGGGCAGTTCTACTCTATCCTATATAGGGTTGTTATGAGTTGGAATCGACTCAATGGCAGTAGATTTGGTTTGGTATGGGGTGGTGTTAATGGTTATGTGCTCAATTACTAGTTGAAAGGCTAGATATTCAAACCCACCTACCGGTGCCTTGAAATACAAGTCTGGCGATCTGCTTTTGACAGGTCACAGCCTTGAACCTCCTATGGAGAAGTTCTAAGTGGTAACCACAAGTTGGAAACAACTTAATGACAACAAACAACAAATCTCATGTACCTACTGGAGTCCTTGGGTGGTGCACATGGTTAATGAGCTTGACTGCTAATGGAAAGGTTGAAGGTTTGAATCTACTAAAAGGCACCTTGGAAGAAAGA